GGGGAATTCTGGGAGCTGAAGTCCACACATCTTAAAATTGCCAACGTTGAAAAACACTGCTCTAAAGCAACAAACGTACAATAAACGTTCTTACAGCCATTCATTGTCTCTTACCTAGGAAGAGATGAACAGCTTTCAAGAAAGAGTTAAGAATGTTATGCAAATACCTCCAAGCAGGTGCATTTAAGGCAGTACATGACCCCCTGGGGCTCCAGGTTAGGATGCCAACTTTCCCCTGCTTTGTACTTCTTGCCATGAAATGTGCAGGAAACTTCAGGACCTGATAATCAAGCACGAGAGAGAGGCAGGGAGGGAGAGATGCTTTGCTGTTTTATATATTAAAAAATTAAGTAGCAAAAAAAAAAATCCAATGCAATAGGATAATTCAAATTACCATAGAAATAGATCACTGTCATGCATTAAAAGTAGAGAAGGCATCAGAGCCTTCTCCAGGGAGCTGGGTCTTCACATGACGTCCCAGAAGTAGGATAAGTTGAGCCTGTCATTCATGCCTTGAGCGAGAACTCAGAATTGATTTGTTCTAGGATCCATGCGTATATATTTCTCAGCTAACCATGGTATTCTCAAGAGTCTTCTCCAACCCCAAAGCTCAAAAGCGTCAATACTCCTCCTATTCTGCTTCTTCAAAGTCCAACTTTTGCTTCCATAGAATGTCACAGGGAACACCACGGCTTGCACAATTCTGATCTAGGTATAGACACATCACGGCATTTGAACATCTTCTCCAAGGCCTTCATGGCTGCTCTACCAAGTGCTAATCTGTGGAGTATTTCTTGACTTCTTGCTCCTTTGCTGTTGATGGTTAATCCTAAAATTTGCTCCTTTGCTGTTGATGGTTGATCCTCCACCACTTCGATATCTTCACCGTCAATTCTAAGTCGCTTATTCAAGCCTGACTTAACGGTGAAGCTAAATGACATGGACTATCATTGATGTTGGTTTGGAAGTATCCAGTGATGCAAAGTTCTAAAGATGATCAGATTGAGGTTGAGGGAGAAATTCCTTTTGGCTTGTTTCTGAATACCAACAACCTAATTCCAACTTCCTGATCAAACCTGTCAATTGATCTGGAATGATTCAGGTTTTGCCCTTCTCCAAATGTGATAAATTTTTCTCACTCTGGGGTCCTCAGTGCTTGTGATGATGGGAGTTGTAGTTCAACTCCTTTGGAAGGGAGCAGGTAGAGAGGTGTGTCTGCAAATCAATATACTGCACACATTTTTGGAAGGTTTAAGGCCATTAGCACCTGAATACGGTGTATTTTTATGCAGCATTGAAATTGTAATAATTATAACAGCAGCTTGGTTGTCTCTGAGATCTACCCAACCCCCCCACCCCTCAAATCTAATATTTTGATTTAATCTAGAACCTTTGTCTCTGTTATAATTTCAGAATGGAGAAAACCTAGTTTTAAAACTGGGCTAAGTCTTTGCTGATCACTCTGGGTAAAGTACAACAATGTTTGTAAGAAGGTAATTGTTGAGTCTTATCTTGTCTAGGCTTAAAAACTAACCAGGGTTAGTTCTTGTTTGTCTTTGGATGGGAGACCACCAGGAAACACCTAGACTAAAAAGATGGAGAGCCCATTTGGTGTAATGGTGAAGGTGCTGGACTAGAAACCAGGAGATGGTGAGTTCTAGTCCTGCCTTAGGCATGAAAGCTGGCTGAGTGACGAGAGTCCCTCTCTCTCAGTCCAACCTACCTCACGAGGTTGTTGTTGGGGGGAAAATAGGAGGCAGGAATATTAAGTATTCCATTCTGACTGGACAAAGTAAAGGTGGAATATAAATTGAGAAGAAGGAGAAGGAGAAGAAAAGAATTATTGAAGCAGGCAATAGGCAACCATTCGGTATTGTTGCTGAGAAAACTACACAGACAGTTCATGAAGTCATCAGGACTCAGGTCCTCTTAAAAAAAATAAAATAAAATATCAGAAGGAAATTTAATATTTGCAGTCCTGAACCTGTATTCTGCCGTACAGCTGTAAGAGAGACCCCTGCTGGCTACAAGAGGAACTGCCACCTTGGCTACCTTTTCTGATGCACGCAAGATGCTTTTCCAAAATTAATTTACGGGCGCTTAGCTTGCACTTAGGAGCCCTATTTCCTCTTGCCAGCTCGATGGATTTTGGATGCACCAGACAAACCTTTGCAATGTTCTGGCAGTGAAGTCAATACAGGAGACAGAAAATTAGGAAGCCTGGGGGAATCGAGTTGAAACATCTGCACTTCAGAAACAATTCAGAAGTATTTGCATTGTTCACTAACTCACATGATCTCAGAAATCTGATTTCTATCTTCCACCGCCAGTCTGTTTTAAATTCCCAACTTTATTATAGATGTTCTAAATGGTTAAGACATAACACCCTCTCTGAGCTTCTCATAAATAAACTTCGAAAAGTAGATAACTAGGGTGGAATTTCAGCTTTCAAGTAGACAGGGAGGACTGTAAAACACATCATAAATTAAGTATTCTGCAAAATTGTTAACATATTCATGCCCCCACTCTTAAATCTGTATCTCAGCCTTCCAGACAAACTATGTTGCAGCCTTTAAAAACCCAACGAAACATTCACGGGCAGAGTTTTGACTCAAAAAGTCCATGTTTTCACACAAATAAGACTTTTCCAGATGATAAAAGAATGCTATCCTTCATCTTTAAACAACTCGCTTGCTTAGTACCAAATTGGGTATGTGTTTCATCCTTAAGCCGTTTCTAGGCTATTTAATTCATTGAAAAAATAAATAAAATTCAGCCCAGGTTCAGAGAAAGAAGGAAAGAAGGGTGTTTTTTCCAACTACGGAAGAAAATTGGCAGCATCGAGTTCACTTTGGCTCATCTGAAAAACAGGGTTTGGTGGGTTTGTACTTGAAGGGGACACCACCAGGACAGCCCAGGGGGATAGCTTAGACTGGAAGGTCAAAAAAAATTGGAAGAAGGCAAGGCCAAACCGTGTCCATTCTGTCATAAAAAAACCAGCATAGACATGTCAGGGGTTGAGTTCACTCAGAGGAGACTTTTGCCTTTTCAAAACAAGATCCAAGGGTGAACTTGACTCCAGGAAAGGAATCTTTTAAAACTTCTCATCCCTGCGCAAAACCTTCAGTGCTGGCTTTAGCGTAAGCCACAGAGAAGTAGTAATTCTTCCGCTTGGGGGGGATGTCAGTTGCAACAAAGGGGGCTCCCCAAATCATCTTTCCTGCAGCCTCTCCTTTTTTTTTTTAAAAAAAAAGTATATTTATTAAGCATTTTTTCATAGAGTAAAAGACAAATCAAAAGAAAAGAAAAGAGATTCGTTTTGGTTAGTTTTTATTGTTGTTGTTTTTAATTGATAAAGTTATTACAAAGAAGAGAGAGAGAGGAAGAGAGAAAGAAAAAAGTGCAAGAAATTAAAAAGAAAAAAAAACTAAAGTTAAGAAATATATGAATGATTCCGACCTTCTTTTCAACAGATAATTACAATCTTATTGTCCCTCCTCCCCCCCCCAGATATTACTGTATACAATTCCCTTCAGCCCCTTCTTTAATCTACAACTTTCTTAATCTTCACATCCATAAAACTTCATTTCATTTCTTCTTTCGGCAAAAAGTCCATTCCTGCAGCCTCTCCTAAAGCAGAAGAGGAGACAGCAGCCATAACAGCAGCCATGGGGCTGGGGGTGGGTGGGGGGCCAGAGAATAAGGAACGGTTTATTTGGCAAACTGGCCTGGGGCAAATGCGACGCCAGCCATAGCTGAAAATGCCACTGGCTGCAGTGAGAGGATGGAAACGTGATCCTAAGAGAGCAGCTGGCGAGAAGGGCAATGTGTGGGGAGGGCCGACTCCCCCGAGACTCCAGACAGGCCCAAGACAAGGGAAGGGCGCCAGGTTGGGGAACATGCCAAGAGGACTTAGGAGATGCTCATCCTGCCTTTCTGCAAGCTGCAAGGTGGTTTAGCTTCTCACAGAAAACGATTTCAGTGTGTACCCGTTCAAATGTACCCCCTGTTTGTAAACTGACATGCAGATTTTCAACCTTCTTCCACTGGACCTTTCAGCTGTCTCTGCCACGGCGCTCACTGCCACAATACAAAACTCAGAGAAAACCTCTCCGAAGCAGCCGTTCCAGCAGAGCAGGAGCGAATGCCTCGTTGTCTTGGCGAGCGAATGGAGGAACAACCCTGTCCCAAAGGCAATCCTGTTGCAATGAGTTCCGAAGGCAGCTGGACCGTGTTTTGGACTTTTTCCCCCTTCTGGTCATGAAAAGGATGGGAAAAGCATGGGAAATGGGGCTGAGCTGCCAGGCAGTGCCTCCCTGCTGAAAAGGGAAAAGTCACTGCCCTGAGACCCTCTACGGCAGTGTTGTCCAAACTTGACCACTTTAAGATGAGTGGACTTCAAATCCCCGAATTTCCCCCCCCACGCCTTGTGGGGGGATTCTGGGGGTGAAAAGCACACCTCTTTAAAATGGTAAAGTTGGGAAACAATACCCTTG